TTCCACCTATTGGAATCATGTCATTGTGTGAGAAATTCCATTTTCCTTAAAAACAAGGTCTTACTTTCTGTTGGAAAAAAACCCCATCTAACCCAGAAGCAGTCCAATGACAAAAGAAACATATCTCAAAATGGATTTTTTTAGTCAAGGTCATAACTGTCAGGTTTCCTGATATATGGTTCGTCAGGACTGTGACATGATTTTCCTGCACTCTGGCAGGACAACTCTGGGCAACTGCAGCTGCACAGTTACTGTCAATGATACAAGAAAATGACACTAATGGCTGCCCTGTGTATAAAGATTTTGTAATGAAAATGAAGAGCCATCAGTACATAATTATTCATTTTGAATAGTCAATATTTCATTAATTACTGAACTGACTGTGTTATAGTTAATAAGTTTTCTTTCTTATTATAAATTCTACTACTGAATAAAGAAGTACTACTACTACTACACAGCATATTTTTAAGAAATTTGCATGCCTACAAATATTGTGCTATAACAGAATTAATCCAGATTTTTTAATCCTACTTTTGACTACATATTTTTATTTTTTATTTCTAATATACTTACACTGAAAAATGCCTCTGTCTTACCATTTCTGCTGCAGGACAGGAAACTTGCCTGTTGCTGCTCCTGTGAACAAAAGTAACTTGAAAATTTTGGGACCTCATTTGTATCATGTGGGTGTTTGAAAAGAACAGAAGTGGTGGTGTGTAGAAACATCCCACCCCAGAGCAGCAAATGAAGCAAATGAAACTGAACATTTTAAAGTACTACTTTTTCAAAACAACAGCCAGAAGAGAATTAAGAAGAAAAACTGTCAGTGAAGAAACTAAGAACATTTTGTTCAACTGTAGCTTCATAACCACCAAAAAAACATTCATTAAGATATAAAACCATAACTGTGGTTAAGACAGCTGATTACGGAAACAGAAAGAAATCTCCATTTTAAAAGTTAAAAAATGAAAGAATAGTGAAATTTTGAGTAGTTAATAATCTGCTACTTCATGGAAGCATCAGCCATGTCACATCATCAGAAATTACTAATGATTCCCAATGAAGTTTTGTCCTTTACCTGAACTCTTTCTTGCTCTGTTCCTCTAGTAAAAAACAAAAATTTTTAATCTGACTTCAGAGACAATTTTTACAACTTTCCTTCCCATAGTTACTAAGATCTTTTTTCAGTAACTGTTATTTGCTCAGACATACCACAGTTCCCCACTATTACTCTTTGATATACAAAAGTACCCTTAAATAAGACTGTTCTTTTATCAGTCACAAAAAACAGTCATACAAAATGATAACAAAGTCATGTAAGTGCTGAATGTCTGTGTGTAGAAGTTCAAGAATAATTATGCCCGAGTGATGCTCAGGGATCTACAGAATCAGCAGACTACGGTGCTGTGTATTTGTAATTCTTTCTTCATTCTCTGCAGCTCAAAAATTTTCTGAATTTCACCTCTTCCCCACACCTTCCCCCCAGCCATAAGCCTCTATTCAAAATTTACGTTACCCTTCCAGGGACCGTAGAGGCCCCACAACGTAGCTGTGATTGAAGCTAGCTCAAAGTACCATTTATGTGTTCAAGCAAGCATGCAGTTTACAAATGTCAAGAATAAATTGGTTTTAGTAATACATAAAACCATCTGCTGTACAGCAGCCTTCTTTGGTTTGGATTTCATGGTATAACTCTTCACTACATCATCTGATTCCTATTTATGCTTCTCCTAGAGGCAGAGCTCTTTAGTCATGGTTTAGACTGTTCCCCTTACAGGGAAAACTGATGCATTTTCTGGTTTATTTTTCAGGGCTCACCTCCCAGAAATAGCTTTTGTCTAGCAAAAGGAAGAAGCCAGTCGTATCTTACCTTCCAATGTGCTTTGCCCCCAAATCTCACCTCAGCCTCTCACACAAATACTCATACCCTTTGGAGCTGCAAAGCTTGAAGTCAGACAGGAATTATATCAAACCAGTTAGGAGTTACCTGGCCAATGCTAGGTTATTGAAAAACAAAAAATTAGGCCCAAGGGAATCTTGATGAAAGGTCAGGAGGTTGGAAAGGACAGGAATAAGTCAACAAAAGTCTACTCTCGCATAGCCTAGGGGTCCTTGATTTGTTTTTCTTTTTTTTTTTTTTTTTTAATTTGGTAAAAGTCGGTGGAAAACTGGATGAATGGATTTTCCCTACAGACCTCAAGGCCTGACTGACTAGTGAGTTCAGATTCACATATTTCTCCAAAGAGTGAGGAATCTAAATATTTCACAGGAAAATCTCTAATGCTAAAATGATAGACTACTCATTGCCTACTCATAGAGTAGACAGGCGTGAGACTTTTCTCACGTTTTTCTGTATCAGCTAGGATTCTGATAATTGAAAATGGAAAGGATAAAAATAGTTCAGATAAAAAAGTGGATGAAAATGCAAGTGGAATATTGGGAGATGGGGAGTGGTATATATATATGCCATTGTCTTTGATGCAGACAAGTATACCCGTGAATGCCCACTCAGATGCAGCCAGAAACTCACTATCTACTATCTCTGTTTCACAAACAGGCTGACATATCTCCTGGCCGGGTGAAGGACACATCAAAAGAGACTCTTCTTCCACCTCACTAAGCAGTATGATCTCATTATTTGGCTGTCCAGGTAAGATACTCATGTTTTTAAACCCCCTGTTCTAATGAGCAGAGTTTTGAGACCAAATCCTTTTGCCTTTGCTTTTCACCATCTTCCCACAGAGTCAGGATTTCCTCTTTATTGCATTTTCCAGGATGTACGCTGACCTAAAGTTTGCACTTTTCATATTGGTACTGCTGTGATTTGATAGAAAACTATATCTAACTTGCATATGTCATTTTTTTTGAGTGCTGATCATGAATAGATGAAGTCCAAATATCAGGAAAAAGCACAGAGCTCAAGGTCCTGGAAGGCAGCACAGGGCATCAGGGGAATGGAAATTCCCTGAGGTCTGGGCTCTGCACTCTTCAGAGCTAGCTGCTATACGGACCATAAGGAGATAGGTATAAATATCAACTCTGCAGGCACTTAGGCTCCACTCATCTCTGTACCATATAAATTACACGAGTACCATTGTCAATAAAATCTGAGCTGAAATCCCATTTTGGTCTTCACTGCTACATCTGCTGATCTGAGTGCACCTATTACCCTGCCAGAAAATTCAAAAGGGGAACCTGGCTTAGAACAAAAATGATAATGCGTACTTATATAACATTTAGCTCAGGGAAGGCTGCTACAGTGGTAAGGAAACCAGAGAAAATTAAGCACTACAGAAATAGAAGGTTGGAAAAAGTAGCTACTGAGGGTCAAGAGAAGTTCAGAACAGCCAGAGAATTTGGGCAAAGTAATTTCCAATAGGATAATTAATAAACATCATACCAGGAATTATTTAAGTGCAGGAGCAAACACAAAATACTGCTATTGCCATATGTGAGATGACCATTTCTGCTCTGCTCTCCTATAACCTTCACTATTCATGTAATTTAGAGAACTGCAGCTTATTTTGGTCAGAATTCTCCACTGATCATTACAGACTGAATGTCTCAATACATACTAGTGTACTAAGAGGGATTAGTAGTGCAGGTGGATGGAGAAGGCCTGGCCATGGTCAACTTAGCTGCCAGAAATGAAGGTGAATTGGAATATACACAGGTTCTGCAGTGACACAGATTCACAGCCAGTTGTGGCCAGAGGTCATGAGGTTGTTGATACAGGTCCAAAGCATCCCTGCACCCAGGAGGGATAAACTTAGAGAATAATTTACTGGAGCTGTTTTTAGATTGCTTAGGAAAACTAAGTTCTTAGTCCCAGTATATGGGAACTGTCAAGGAAAAGAAAAAGAAGTTGCTTCCTGATTAGGAGTCAGACACATGATTCAAGGCATATCTGAGCTACTACTTACTGTGGTGGAAAAAAATTGTCCTGGATAATTATTCTTGTTTTGCCAGTGTAAATCTACTGGAAGACTTTACAGCTTGTGCAAGTGGATGTGTGGGTCAAATCTGTTTTTACCAAACATGGAACACATTTCTCTGAGCAGGCTGCACCTGACTAGGCAGAAATTCAGTCATTTTGCAGTGACATCAGATGTGTGATCTTTGACCGATTTTTATCCCCAAAACATCGGGTCAGTGGAAAATTAGGGGAAAAATCCCAGACTGATGTCAGAATACTAAAACACCTTCAGAAAAAGGGCATGTCATCAGTTACCACTTTTACTTAATGCACTAAAATTATAGGTCAACACAGAGAGAGCCCTTAGCACCTGCAAACATTGGCAAACTGAGAATGTGAATATTTATTTGTACAGTTGGAAGTGGTGCCAGTGGAAGGGGCAAGAGGGAAAAAGCAAACCAAAAGAGCAATGAGATTTGGTGTTCTGGGAGCTGCTGCCACTGCAGGAACATGACGTAGAGGGCTGTGGGGTTTGGGTTCACAGTTACAGAACCAAGAAGATGGATTCACAACTTTGAAACAGACACACATGCTGCCAAGTTTTTGGGTGCAAGATGAAATTTTGGTAGCAAAGAGTCAAAGTAGCAGGTAGTACCTAAAAATGCTGAAACTGTTTTAAACTCCAGCAGTTTTGTGAGTTGGCTAGCATTTAGTGAGTGAGAGTGTCAAAGAGATGCAAAGAAAACAGGATTTGAAACTAGGACTAGCTTCGTATATAAACATGTACAGGAGATGCTGTCAAAGTCACTACAGCTACATTTGCTGGAAGTGAAAAGGTGAATAGCAGTGTCTCTGAACCACATCACAACAGCTGTAACTAGACAAACAGAAGACTTGACAGATTTTAATGGTGGCACTCTGGGGAGGAGAGCTGAGAAAGTAAGTGTTGGCATGAGCACACAGGCTCCCTCGGAAGGGCAAAACACAGGGTAGGAGGGGAAAGGTTCATCTTGTCATCGCTGCTTTCTAACATGTAGCCACTTCCTGTTTCTTCTGAGAATGGTGAATAAGAAATGAACTTGAATTTGGGCAAAGCTTCAAGGTTTTTATTGAGTGGTACATAACTAATAAACAAGATTATACACTGTCTGTATTTTCATGGAAAATAGACTCAGTTAAACACAGCAACAAACTTCTGCCTTTTGGATAGATGCTAATTTAGCATTTGTAAAACGCAAGGCCCCAGCAGAGCTGGAACATCCTCCCAGGAACAGCCTGAGAGGGCCCCAGCTGGGCAGCCTTTTTCTCCAACCGAGCTGTCAGCACTGGTTCAGATACCATCAACGTTAACTCCAGCACAGCACTGCTGGGACACAATGCCAGTGAAAGGAGCTGAGATCAGGCTTTTAGAGCAGCAGTGTCATCAGTGCCAGCCTACAGTGATGCCTCTGTGGAAGCGCAGAGCACTAATGCCAGAAATGGAACCAATAAATAGCAATGCAGGGAAACAAGTCAACATTTCTTTGTACATTAGTGTGCTCTTTTGCCTCTGCCCCCCAGACCTATAGGATTAGCTTTGCAATGACACACAAACCTCTGTCATAATAGTGTTTGGATTTCAGTTGATCGGTAGACACGGTGAAATTTGACAGTAAGATGCTCAGTTGCAACAGCAATAGCTCTTAATGCTATACATATATATATGTATATGTATATGTATATATATATTGACTACATATTGGTACAATACAACTCAAAGAATCAATGGCTTAATGTAGCCATTTTTACGTGACAGGGTTAACCTTGAAATATTAATGCATGAACTATTTATTCTCCTCCAAACTATAGAAGTTACAAAGAATGTTCTCGCTCCTTCCTGTATGCCTTTGTAATAAGACAACTAATTTTATTTCTTTAACTTAAGTGAATTAGCAGACTCTCCATCCCAGCTAGGAAATGGTTTCTCTCTTTCCTTGTTTCAGTTAACAGTGATGTGGAATGGAATCACTTTTTTCTCTAGCTTTTCAGAAGGCATTTTCACATAGACCCCAGTAGTGAGACATCGTCTTCTTTTTATCTATAAAATATGGGAAGACAGCAAATTAAACAATTGATCAGAGTATAATCATTAACCAGCACATTTTAGGGAAAACTGGTGATGTTCTGCTTTTACTGAGTAGAAGGTATTCTAGACATCATTGCCTGTCACTCCTCTTTGTAGAAAATCCATTGAAACCATCTGAGGGAGAATCAGGAGTTCCAGGGGCCATTTAGAAAAAAATGAATCCTGCTATTTTTTTAGCCCTTTGAAGGTGCTCCTGCTGCAGAGTTCAGTGTTGGTTCAAAACTAGGAATGTTCACATCAGACAGTTTCATTTAGCTTCTAGTGACAAGGGCATATTGAAAAATATGGGACAGGGGTACTTCTTGGTTTTAAACTCTGGCATCAGATTTATTTCTAACAGACTGTGAGTACTCCTGACCCCCATGGGAAAAGTGCTGTAAATTTCAATTCCTCGCCCATCACGAGGGGAAGCCTCTTTAAATTTTCTTTGCACAGAGGTGAATGGTGAGAAAAGGAAAAATCATATCCTGTGATTTTGTTATGAATCAGTTCTGAAATCAGAGTACACGTGAAGACTGTTGCCTTTGATCCAGGAAGCATCCAGGACTCCAACCTGTTCTAAGCATCCAAACCTAAGCCAAAGGTCAGACCAGCTGATGTGAGCTGATTGCTTCCTGGTACTCTGGCAGCACAAATGAGCCATAAACAAATCTACATGGCAACTCCAGCAAGTTCTCTTATTTTGCATTATTGTAACAGCATTGCACCAGTAAAAAGGAGCATCCCAGTGTGTTTGTTCCCAGTGTTATTCCCTGTTCTCATTTCTTTCTCCTTGTCCTCGTCACACAAAGGGGTGTTATTAGCAGGATGGGGCTGAATTGATGGGACTTACCGCTTTGCTCACGAGAATGGCTGAGGTGATGATACTGTAAAGAAAAAATCCCAAGGCAGTAGCTCCTAATACCCAGAGATATATGAAGGTGTCTGGACAAGGTTCTGGATCTAAAACATATGATATCACACAAGTCACGTCACACATGAGCTATCCCAGGATACCACTAGGAATGAGCTATGAGTCTTTGCCCACTCAACCTCTAATGAAAATCGGCTTTATCTGTAGAAGAACATACATCTTACTCTCCACTGTTTCTGCACTTACATATCTAACTGCCTAGACATACATGTACACTACATGGTATTGCTTATGCTGTCAGGCATCCATACATTGCTAAATAGACTATAATTATGCCTGCTTTGGGTGTGCACAGGGAGACCTGAAAGGAATAAGAGCTTATCATGATTCTCAGAGCTTGAGTCAGTGTTCAGCCTCACCTCTTACAAACAGAACTTTGGAGACCTTTGAGACATAATAACTCCCTTAACCTGAGAATATCACAGTACTATAGAGCTGCTTGGCTTACCGATGACATAGAGTTGCGTCCCATTTCCCTTGTTCATAAAATAGGGTGGAGGGTACATCCGCTCCATCTTGCAGACATAAAGACCGGTATCATTAGCTTGCAGGCCAGTGAGGGTGAGGGTCACATTGTTTCGGCTAGGGCTAACATGGCACTGAATGACCTCTTCCACACTGAACATTTTAAACTCCATTGTGTAGGTTGAAGCACAAATTTCAGTGAATCGGTCACCTGTCTGTTTAAGCAGCGTCACTCGAATTTCCTTTGCATTCCCAATGTGCTTATATTTACACACCAAGCTGGCGACTCCTTGCCTGTTGGCCAGCACCATTGCTGGCTGAGTCACTTCCATTACTGTAAGGAGGTAAAGAACATGATGATAAGTGAACTGTCAAGAAATGATCTGTAGTCATTTACTTAAAACCTGCACAATAAGAAGGGAGTCCTACCACCTCTTATTACCCATGAGTAATTGCTAGAAACGCTGATAAATCCTTCCAAGAAAAGGACTTCAACACCACAATTCACATAGGCACTGCATTAATATACTTTAAAAAACCTCAAGAAGTGTCTTGATTACTATAAATGATATTATAAATCTCATCAATTACTTGTTGCTTAAACAGTAGGCACTTTGGCCCCCTTAGTGGAGCAATGACCTGCATGCTTCAGTTTCCCTCAACAAAAATTTGTAATATACATAAGCCAAAAATTAGACTTCAGATGGTAAAGCTGAAATTTTAAATTTAAAATTAAACATTTAAATGACAATTTCTGACTGGTAGAAATAATTATGTCCACATTTAGAAACAAACAGTTTGACATCTTCTATGGAACAGGCAATGGAACCATTAGGGTAACAGTAAAACCGAATGGGAAACCTGCTTGCGTATTTTTGTTGCTGATCTTTTTGCTCCTTATTTTTAACCAGCTATTCCCAAGCCACAGTATAGCAACAGGATATACCCCAAGCCACAGTAGAGCAACACACAGCAGGGCCTGATAAACATACTGAAAAAAATCATTACAAATCTTAAAGGGAAACTAGTATACCATGTACATCCCTGCTGGCTGCTTTTTACAACTTCTATACTCTATCCTGCTACACAATGGGAAGGCACTGGCTTTTGCTTGAATAAACTGTGAAGACTCAGTAGTATTTGTTCAATTTCATTTTATATCAGTCCTTTTTGGGGCAGAGCTTGTCTTCTTCAGATCTGCAGTGCAAGAATTTGGGACAAAGAGTAGGATTTCTCCATCCATTCAAACCTTTATATCCATTTCATCAGCTGCCAATAACTTCACTCACAGGGCCCAGTTTGTCAAAATCTTTCTTCTGAGCTACTCTGAATTCTGCCCAGCTTCTCTACAGATGTTACTGCTCTAAAATCTGTGTCTGGTTTTCCTTGTGGTGCCCAAGACCTTGTTCCCAGACTGTCCTATGGAGGGGTCCCATGTCACCTCCCTCTCCCAATTATACCCAGTCCATCTCCTGCATGCAAAGATATGAAACCAAGAAAATGTAGACACCCCCAGCTACCTTGCCTCCTTCATCTACCCACCTTCGGCAATGGCAGTGGCTGTGCAGAGAAAGCCCACGGTGACCAATATTGAGAGCATTCCTGCGCTGGGACAGATGCTGAAGGGGCTGAAGGTGGCTGATGCCTCCAGACTTTAAGACAAACTGGAACTCTCAGGACTGGAAAAAAGGCAACACCTTTCAGGATACTGAATCTTCGAAATGTTTGAACCCACACAGAGTCAGTGTGTATATATATAGCTTTGATCCCAGATGCTGTACCTGAAAGTAATATGAAGCTTTGTTTTGGTTTTACGAGAAAGGATGTAGTGGGTTTGATTGGTACGTGCACAGTTAACCTCAAACAGCATGAACAAAAACAACTATTCAGCAGATGGAAAATATATATTCAATCTGAAACTGCCATCCATTCTGCTTTAAGAATTGGGGGAGGAAAGGTAATCATCCAATAGGGCAGTTCAGGCCCTTTGGTGCTGCCAGCTTGCACAATCATAGCACTTATTATTTTAACAATCATCAGGTATTTCCTACTAGGACAATACACAGAGAACTATATTTCTGCCTAATATGGCACAGTGAATCAGTGTGAGGTAGCTTTTTTTATGAAGGACTTCCCTCCACCCCCATTTTCTTTGCTTTCTTTAATGTTAGTGCTTTTGATGTTTAAAAATTGCTGCCCCCTTCAAAATACTGATTACACTTGTAATGACTTCATATTTTCTTATCAGCAATGTGACTTGAATCATAACCCAGATTCTTCATGCTTTCCTGTTTCCAAGAAAAAAATTATCTAGGTTTATAGCTAACGACTTCCAAATCTATACAGAACTTTCCCTACCTACGGACTTTACTGTGTAAGTACCTTGACATCAACAGATGAAATATACTGCAGGAGCTTTGATTATTGCAATCTCTGCTTAGAGCACCTGTGTCATTTCAAATCTCAGTGAAACAGTTTTCACCCACAAGCCTTTTAAAAGTCATGTAAGGTCTGAAAATAATTTTGCTTTTTTATGTGATAGACTGCCATATCCATGAATCATTGCCTAAAAAATAAAAATAAAGTTACACTTCAGTTGCACTGAAGGTCATAATTGTGATTTTTTTTTCCCCCACACTCTGAGAAGTTCTTTTAGAAAGTACTTCATCACTTATGTACGTAGATCTAGTGGATCGCAAAGACCTGCTTTTGGACTGTGGTGTAGAAAAAATAACAGCATTAGTTCTTGAACACTAGCCAGCCCAATCCAGAGATACAGGATAAATATTTGGTCTTGTAATCACATAAATACCTAGTGATATAAGCCAGTTTACTGTTTCCATATTTATGTGATGCAGCAGTTGTTTGTAATGACAGATTCATTGTCAGTTTGATCTTAACCAGCATTCAAAACAGAACTGTTGATAAAAAAAAAGCTATGGGAAAATTAAAAACTGCACCCTAGTAATATGTCAGGCCCATATTGTATTACTGGTTAGACAACCTTAAATCAATTTTAATATTAAATTTAATAATAAATGCTATTGCAACATCGTGTACCAGAATATCAGTGAGATTTACGGCATGAAATTACCAGGTTATGCCTGACATTTTCATATCCAGAGTAGTAACCAAATTACTTGTCCCATGTATCTTTTGGGCTTGGGTTTTGTATGCAGTTAAACAAATGATGCATTTGAGCCTCTTCAACCATAATGTCATCTCCTCATGATAGACTGAGACTGTAAATTGATGGTGCATTTAACTACTAAACACTTGCAAAGGACTGCCATGTAAAACTCAGTGCTTGCTGCCCCACATATCCACAGTATCTGATAAGCTAGAGTGAGAGGTAGCACTCTGGCACTCCTCTCTCCTGTAATTGAGACTGCTCTGGCAAACTTTGTGTTTCCAGTGATACTCATCTTGTTTCCTGGCTGTTTTGTTCTCAAGGTGTTTTTTCAGAATGACCACTTTTTACTTTTTATCCTTGTTCCTCCATAGAAGCCTCACGTTATAATGACTGCTCTTCAAAGTAAGGCACAGTATGTGAGACAGACCCTGTGGAGTCTCTTGAAGTCATTTCTGTCTTCACAGCCAAAGCAGCCTGAGCTGATCTCAGAGAATCCCCCTTCCAATGGATAGAGATCACCTTGCTATGGTGCCCTCTACCCTTGCTAATCAGACTTCTGATCTTGAGTTAACGTATGCGGATAGCAGAGGGTTGTATGATGCAGTAAAATACAGATGTTGTTCCAAATAAGATCTTTCCTTCACTGCTCCCATCCTTCCCAGCTCTATTATGGCATGGAACAAGGTACTGATAACTGAATGAGATGCACAAGAATCACCAGGTATGTCTTTTCTCTCTGCTGTGCCCCTCTTCTAACTACTCTTCTGATGAAGAGTCTCTGCACTTCTCCTTGGCCTACCTTCCCTATATATCACAGCCATGGTTTGTGGGCTACAGCCATAGGCCCTATCTTACCTAGTTACTGTGCCTTCTTGTCTGTGTCTGGTATCTTCCTGCCCTGACTTCCTCATCTTGCAAACTTTTTTTCTTCCACCCTTTTCCCATAACTGGAACCTGGCACATGGCCTAGGGACAGGGCAAGGGAATGGGTGAAAGAGGAGCCCTCCCTTTGACTTTGAGAGTCAGAAGATCTTTCAGGAAGGATATTCCTAAAGCTGTCTCCAACAGCCTATGCTTTGCACTTTCTGTGTCCAAAGCTCAGAGCAAGATAAATCTTTCCTTTAATGCACATTTGTATTTTGCATATTGTATTACTCTTTGTTCTTATATTAATCCCCGGGTCACAGGAAACATTTATACCCTACACATGCTACCATAGAAAAGTGTCAGACCAGGGAAGGGGACTGAGATCCTTGCAGATCTAAGCTGCAGAGCCTTAAACTGAGGAATCAGCTTAGGAGTGGCTTGGGTCTCATGGCCTCTTTGAACTTAGCTCAGAGAGGGACACACAATTTACACTGAACACTGGACTACACTACTGTAATTAGTCAGATTGCTAGTAAGTTAAATAACTAGGTTTCTCGAGTAAGTTTCTTTCTCATTTTGTGTTACTTGCTCACATTTTAGTGAATTGAATTACTTTTCTTCATTGAACACTTGTTAAGGCAAACCTTCCTGCTGATGCCTTGTCAGAATTCCCATTGCAAAATATTATTATTCACAAAATTATTTTCACACTTTAAAGCCTGTCTCATGCTGCCCATGTTTTTTTCTTTTGTGACAGGAACTTGCTTGATGAATTGCTTGACATGTAATGGGGAGAAGAGAAGCTTATCATTTGCATAAGTATCTGGTTTCGGGATATTTTGTTAAACTCAGAATGTGAGATCATGTCTTATTATGTTAAACAGTTCATGATTTTACCATGTTAGTTTGCCACAAACCATTGGGGTTTTGAAATGCACTGTCATTTGAAAAAAAAAAATCCAGACCTCTAAGTGCTATGGCTGAAGAAAAAAATCTTTTCTACAAAACAATAGGTAAAAAGAAAAGGAAATAACACAGTGACTGGAAAATTATTGTTTCATTACCATTAAAGGACTAAAACCTGATTAGTCTAAGTAAAGGCCTAGATATGACCAAGTTTGGTGGATCAGTCTTGGTTCCTGAAGGAACCACAACTCACATCATAAAACCACTGATTTTAAGTCTCTCAGAATTGTGGCCTTTCTGTCAGCTTCTAACCTGGATTTGCAGATGCTGCTCTCTAGTCCTAAACCTGTGTCCTCAGTCCAGCCTCAGCAGAGGTGAAGACAGCACTAGCTGAGGAATTCTCCTCCCACTACTTCTCAGGGCACACAGGGTTGGTCTGCTTGTGCACTTCTGCTGACCAGCAGATTGTCCAGAAGGATTTGAGGTGTGGGTGAATGTATAAGCATCCTTTTTCTTTGTGCTACAATTGTTGGTATTCTTTTTTAGAGTCTAGGCTTTGTTTCTCCTACTGTAAAGGTAATTATAACCAACAGGCTTTCCTGAAATTCAGGGCACCTGTAGTTATCTAACACAGAAGGAATACTGCCTCCCAACTTTTCATACTAACAGTTCCACTTAACCTTGAAGGTCTGCACTGTACCCCTTACCTGGCTGGGTTTGATACATGTCATTCGTAGTAAACCATATGTGTCCCAGTAGCAACCAGGACCACTGTCTGTGTGAATGTATTGCCCCCCTCCCCATGCCCCATGCAGCTTACAGACAAAATGTAAGATCTAAGAATGTATGGAAAGAGACAGAAGTAAGAGGAAATAAAGAGACAGGACTGAGGAGCAACACAGGCAAAAGGTCTTTACACACCAGCTTCTTTACTCTTCTCCAGTTTTCTGTAAGGGGTTGTGGCAAGGAAGAGATTTTAGGAGGAATTTGAACACAGAGCCTGAAGTATCTTGGCAGATGTTTAAGGACTTACTTTTTAGGAAGGAGCTTTCCAAGGCAGAGCACCACAAATCTCTTGTTAATAGGCCAATCACTTGGGAATGAACACAGAATAAAGCAGACACCTTCAGCCCAGAGTGAACACTGACGGCTAAGCTGTTTTCATGAATAAGAAAAAAAGAACCAAAGAAACTCCCAAGTCTAAAAATAAGCAGTTAGGTATACCCCATGATGAGCTGCAGCTGTGGAGACACGGTGAAGTACTGGAGAAAGGTTTTACTTCTGCTTCTCTTTATTTCTTAAAGCATTGTAAAAAGGAAAACCAGCAAAAGGTAGCCATATTTTTTATGGTCTCTGGCTCTGACACTATGGCAGTTTGCATTTAACAAGCGACACAACAATAAATCATTATAAAGCTTTGCTGAAGACATGTGAGTAATGCTGTTCTCAAACATGAGATGGATAAGAAATATTTTTAAAGGGTACAGGTGAGGAGCATGATCTGTGTGTGGTATATAGCTTAAAAACCTACTTCCAGTATTCACAGGGCTAACTAAGTCTCTGATTTTATTTTTTTCTTCTGTGTTTGGCATTTCATAGAATCATAGACAGGTTTGGGTCGGGAGGGACCTTAAAGATCATTTAGTTTCAACCCTCCTGCCATGGGCAGGGACACCTTCCACCAGACCAGGTTGCCCAAAGCCCCGTCCAACCTGGCCTTGAACCCTTCCAGGGAGGGGGCAGTCACAGCTGCTCTGGGCACCCTGGGCCAGTGTCTCACCACCCTGACAGGAAAGAATTTCTTCCTTACATCTAATCTAA